TGTACTTGAGTCTAAAATAGACCCAAGTGTGGACTTGGTTTCTTTTTTTTATTGCCACATAAGCTAGACCATGCCCACTTTTAATTGCATTGGGAAGCATTCTTTTATAGACTAAGTCTATTTCCCATGTGGCATGTGATTTTTTGGTAAGAGACCCAAAGCATTGTGGGTGCTCTAAAACTATGTAAAATTAATAAAATTCACTCAAATGCAAAGAGACTAGGTCTCTACTTGGGTCTAAATATACTTAAGGGGAGACCGAGTCTTTTTTTCTGGCTGCCACATCAGCAGGACCCAGTTTACTTTTATTTGCATTGAAGAATATATTTTTTTAGACTGGGTCTATTTCTTACGTGGCGTGTAATTTTTTGTGATCGAACCTAAAACATTGTGGATGCTCTAATTAGAGAAATATTTGTTTCAAAGTATGACAAACTTATTATTGAATGGTAAAAATATGCATTTTTATTTATAGAGTGTGGTTGGTCGACCTTTTTTATGATTAAACCCTTTGGTACAATAATTTTTGTTGATTAAATTATATAATAGCGAATTACAAAGTTTGTTAGGTGATTTGAGCAGTGTATTAACTAACTTTATTATTTTAAGTATTTGGTTTGGTAAAATTTAATAGTTTATCAGTTGGGAATATCATTAATATTTTTTTTTACTTAATTATTAAATGCATGTACTCTACAAAATTTTATGAAATTCAGCATCTATATATATATAATTGCTGGCAAGATTCAATAAATTTTATTCAGCCAGCAATTAATAAAAATAGATTTCATTTAATAAAAATCTTTATGACAATAAATTTTATTCAGTAAGCAATTAATAAATAGGACTTCATTTAATAAAATTTTTTATGACCAGCATTCAAACGACAGTTACACAAGTAACACCTTATTATTATTAATTTTTTATTCTGTAATAGTTTTACAAGATTTTAAATTTTCTGAATATACCATATTAACTTATTTTACAGTTAATATTCCTATTATGTTTTATAGTTATACAAAAAAAAAAAAAAAAAAAAA